ACTTGACTTCACATTCCAGGATGTCTGGCTCTAGACGAGTGATCACACCATCGTGATTATCTGGGTCGTGAAGATCTTTTTTGTACAGTCTTCTGTGTATTCTTGCCACTTCTTAATATGTTCTGCTTCTGTTAGGTCTTTACCATTTCTCTCCTTTATTGAGCCCATCTTTGCATGAAACTGTTTTTCATATGAGCATTTAAGATTGATGGTAAATGTTTTTCATTATATTTTTGGAATAATTTACTTTTGCAGCCATATGGGCAAACAGTTTTCTCTGTATGAAAGTTTTAAATTACATATTCAATTTTTAAAATATTTATTTGCATTTTTAGATTTTCTGTTTCTTTGTTAATTTTAATAAGTTATGTTTTCCTAGGAATTTGTTCATTTCATGTCATTTTTCAATTCATTGAGTCAGAATTATTAGTAGTTTATTGTTTGTGAAATCCTTGGTATCACCGTCCTTTTCATTCTCAATTGAGACTTGTGCCTTCTCTGATTATTTGTGATGCATCTTGCTAAAATGTCTGTTATTTATTTTAGTTTTTTTCAAAAGCTGATTGTTTTGATTTTCCTCTCATACGTTTGTTTTCTATTAAAAGTTTCTTGCTTCAGTTTTTGCTATTTCTTTTATTCTACTTTGGGATTAGTTTCATGTTTTTTATTTCTTGATAGGAACATTTGACTGCTTTATTAGTTAATGTGAAATGTCTGTTAAAGTCCACTTTAGTTGTCCGCTGTAGACAGTTTTTTCATTTTAGTTCTGTGAATTTTTGCTTTATGTATTTTGGGGCTGTCTTTTTTATGTATGCCAATTTAGAATTTTTACGTCTTTTTTAATGGATCATCATATTTATTATAAAATAACCCTCTCATTGAGCGATATTTCTTGCCTTCTCTTTTGTTAGAGATGAAGATACCTTTACAAGTTTTCTTTTGGTTAGTGTTTGTATGTTTTTTACAGTTTTATTTTAGCCAGCCAGTGCTCTTACATTTTAAGAAGATCCCTTATAAGCAGTATACAGTAAGTTTTAAAACTCTCCTCTCATAATGCCTGAAGAATTCCCTGTAGTGCTTCTTTTAGTTTGGGCCTGCTGGTGTGTTTGAGGATGTGTCTGTTGGTGTGTAAAATGTTTTTATTCATCATTTTGAAGGATAGGTTTGATTAGATTGGAATTCTAGATTGGCAGTTCGTTTCTTTTCCCACTTTAAAGACATTCATTTTCTGTCTCACACATTTGTGTGGATAAAGCTGCACTCCATAATCAGACACGTCTTCTATACTTCTCTGCTGGGACTGATGTGCAGTGAAATGGGCTGCATATGTTAAGAGAAAACCTTGATTCCCTTTAGCTCCTGGCATGGTTTCTGGCAGCTTTGTCTTTTTAACCTGAGTGTGGTTTTCAAGCATGCTGCGTGGTCACAGGATCAGAATGTTGGTAAGACCCCCAGCCGGAGCTCTGGTTCGTGTGTTAGAGGGTACCCTAACGGAGCCCTGGGGTCCGAGGACGTGGATCCCATGACTCAGTTACGAGGGCTCCTTCAGGGCTGCTTCCTTAGAGTCCCTGTCTGTCCCATCAGCCTTTACTTTGTGGCTTTGGCTCCTCTCTGTCTGTTCCCTTCCCTCATATCATACTGCCTTTAGCTACATATGCAATCTAGAAAAGCAGTCTGATGGCCCTATTTGCAAGGAAGAAATGGAGGCATAGACGTAGAGAAGGGACTTGCGGCCACAGCGGGGGCAGGAGAGGGTGGGATGAATTGAGAAAGTAGCATCGACATATATACACTGCCGTGTGTAAAATAGCTAGCTATTAAGAAGCTGCCACGTAACACAGGGAGCTTAGCCCGGGGCTGGGTGATGACCTAGAGGGGGAGGATGGGAGAGGTGCAAGGGATGAGGGATGGGGGGTGGGAGGGAGGCTCAGGAAGGAGGGGGTGTAGGTTCTAGGGTATGGGTTTTATCAACTGCAGTTCTCAATTTCACAGGAAGTGTGTCGGCTCAAAATGTCTCAGCTTCAGCTGCTACTTGCTTGTTACATCTAGTCCTGATCAACTTATAATTGGCCCGTAAGAGAGTAGGTAGCCGAGTAGGTACCTTCTATGCTGTAATTTTACTTTGTTTTTTATTTGTCTATTTATTTAAATGAGGACTTACCTTTACTCAGAGGGTTTAATTTTACTAAAAAGAATGTCTTTGTTGAGACACAAAGGAAATGATCCCTTGAAAATGAAGTGAAAGTTGCTCAGTCGTGTCTGACTCTTTGTGACCCCATGGACTCTATAGTCCATGGAATTCTCCAGGCCAGAATACTGGAGTGGGTAGCTTTTCCCTTCTCCAGGGGATCTTCCCAACCCAGGGATCGAACCCAGATCTCCTGCATTGCAGGTGGATTCTTTACCAGCTGAGCCACAAGGGAAGCCCAAGAATACTGGAGTGGGGAGCCTAACCCTTCTCCAGTGGGTCTTCCCAACCCAGNAATCGAACTGGGCTCTCCTGCATTGCAGGTGGATTCTTTGCCAAACTGAGCTATGAGAGAAGCCCTGAATGATCCCTTAAGGAAGTAATTATATTTATTATCTGTTCCAAAGTTACGATTCTGTGGTAAACTCATAATTATGAAATTGTTGGTTTGTATGTATTTTCAAGTCAGTGATTCTCAGATGTGATCTGCAGTCACTAAGTCAGGCATCCATAAAATAACAGTGATTTTCATAGCAGTAAGGTGTGAATTGCACATTTCATTGGGTTGGCATTTGCACTGATGGGGCAGAAGCAGTGGTGGATAGAACTGCCAGCATCTTGTCAGGAACCAAGGAAGTGGCATCAATCTGTAGTCATTTATGTTGACATGAATGGATTTATTTGTATTCAGTGGATAAATAATTTAAAATTTTAATTGGGTTCATTTTCTAATAGAATACTCTGGATAGACACATGTATAATCTTAACAGAACCTCTTCTTCTAAGAGTTTAAGGGGGTCCTGACATGAGAGTTTGAGAAGCATTCCTTTCAGTCCTTGGTAGATGTATAGACAAGCAAGTATTTTGTTTAATCTGATGCTGATTTTTGGGAAGAAAAGCTTAGAGAATATGATTCCTTTGATAGATAAATCCAGTCTATCTTCAAGTTTTATGTGAATCTTATGTAAATGTTCCATTCATTGCCTTAAAATTTTAACTAGGTTATATTCGTAAATAAAATACTTTGCAGGTGCTGATCTTAAGGAAAGAGCCAAAATGAGTTCCAGTGAAGTTGGTCCTTTTGTCTCCAAAATAAGAGCAATGATTAATGAAATTGGTAAGTACAATTAAATTGTCCTTGTAGCATGGTTAAAGTGACCTTAAATATTGAATATTAAAAGTTACACACTGTTTTTAAGTATTGTGAAGTGAAAGTTGCTCAGTCTTGTCCAACTCTTTGCTACCCCATGGATTGTATAGTGCATGCAATTCTCTGGGCCAGAATATTGGAGTGGGTAGCCTTTCCCTTCTCCAGGGGATCTTCCTGTCTTTATGTATAAGCTTTGGCTAAAATATTTACATAATTAGATAATGATGGTGTATAGCTGGTTGTAAAACAGAATGTATGTTTAATTTGAAAAATTGTGAAAAATATTTTGTAATTAAACCTGCCTCATATTTATGATGACATTACTTATGGAGGTAATTATTAGAAAACAAAGAATAATTTGGCATAAGTGTTTGACATGAGTATATTTCTTAAATAATTGCATTCACAGACATACAGATTTGGATTTATTTTTTGTGTGAGTGGGATAATACTGTTTCTTTAGAATTATAGTCTTCTTTGTAAGGTTTATGTTTAAGTACATATAAATTTGCTTTTATTATTAATACCTTTTAATACATTACTGCATAGTATCCGTGGTCTTACCCAGAATTTTATTTATTTATTTTTTCCTTTATTTTTATTAGTTGGAGGCTAATTACTTTACAGTATTGTAGTGGTTTTTGCCCTACATTGACATGAATCAGCTATGGATTTACATGTGTTCCCCATCCTGAACCCGCCTCCCACCTCCCTCCCCATCCCATCCCTCTGGGTCATCCCAGTGCACCAGGCCCGAGCACTTGTCTCATGCATCCAGCCTGGACTGGCGATCTGTTTCACACTTGATAATATACATGTTTTGATGCTGTTCTCTCAGATCATCCCACCCTCGCCTTCTCCCATAGAATTTTAAATTATTTCTTCATTAATGAACATTGGATTTTTTTTTGTTTGTTTTGGCTGTTTTATTTTCATGTTTTTTTAAACTGCTTTTTTTGTTTATAATAAAATAGTGATTCCTTTGTACAAATTCTTTTAGAACATTAGTATATATAAGATAGATTTCTAAATATGGTATTGCAGTTCTAAGTATCATGTGTTCATTTTACATTTTAATAAATACTACCAGATTATATTGCAAAAAGATTATAATAATTTATATTCCATCAGTTATATGACAGTACCTGTTTCTTCATGTTCTTGCAGCATTTAACATTACTTTTTTAGTTTGCCAAAGTTAAAGAAAAAATAGATCTTAACATTTTAATTTGCACTTTCCCAGATGCTAGTGTAATGTTATATCTTTTCAAATTAAACTTGCCTTTCCCCTTCTGTAGATTGCCTTTTCACATTCATCTCCTTTTCTGTTTACTGAAAAGCCAGTTTTGTATTGAGCTTTTGTTGTTAAATGTATTACAGGTATTGTCTCTTAATATTCCACCCTAATTCAGTTCCAGGAGCTTTATATATCTAGAGGGTACTAAGTTCTCTTTATTTTATTATTTTTTTTTTAACTGAAGATTTCTTTGCTAATCCTCACATCTCAGTTCTTCCAAATGAATTTAGGATTGTTAATTTTAAAGGGAAGAGGAAAAATAGTCTCGAGCCTGTGATTGGAATTTCTGTAAATATTGTTTATAAAGAATTAACATTTTTATGATACAGAATCTTTCCATTCGTCATGTGCATAGCTTTCATTGTATGGGGGGATCATTCATGTTTTAATGTTCTTTAAGAAAGTTTTCTTCACATTGGCTTCAGTCTTGTATCTTTTCTCCCTCTCAGATTTATCCGTATTTTATAGCACTTATTCCTCTGAATGGAATCTTTTCGTGATATTTCTGTTGAAGTCTAGTTATTGTTGTAGGTCTGTAGGAAATTTGTTAAATTTTTATGTGCTTGTTTTGTATCATGCTAGCTTATTACTTGTATTAGTTATTGTTATTTCTCAATTTTCTTGTGTTTTCCAGAAAGCAAAAAAGTTCCTTATATATAAATAATGCTGTTTTTATCTTTTCCAACCTTTTAATCTTAACATTTTTCATATATTTTCACATTGGCTAAGGCTCTTGGTACAATATTCAGTTATTGAAGTGATCATATTCATCCCTTTATTTGAGTATGATGATTGCATTTAATATTTTGCCAGTAATTATCAAGTTCAGGGAGTTTTCTTATATTTCAGCTTGTTTTGGAGTTTATTACCCTTCTAGTCAAGAATAAGGGTTAAAATTTGTCAACTGCCTTTTTGGTATGTGTCAAGATCATATCTATTAGAATTTGTCTCAGGTTTTATTATACTAAATTGTATTAATAGCATTACTGATGCTACACTGGCCTTGTGTTACTAGATTAAATACTGCCTGGTCATTGTGGCTAGTGGTTATGATGGTTTTTAATATGTACCACTGGATTTAATTTTAAATATTTTGATATAAGCATAAATGAGATGGGATCTTCTAATTTTGTGTTCTGTGTTTCTCTTTCGGCTTCGTTACCATGGTTTTACAATCTTCATAGAATAAAGTGAGACGTTTTTCATCTTTTTCTGTGCTATCCAGGGAAATCATCTGTTATTTGAAAGAGTAGTAGAATTTGACCATGTGACATCTTTGGGGTTTTGTTATTGTTGTTTACCTTTTGTTTTTAGAGCTAAGTTTTAAAATATACATGTTTTGATTTCTAAAATAGTTCTTGTCGCCTTCCTACCTTTTGTTTATCCCTTGCCAGATTTATTAGAGGCTCTCCTCTGCTGCTCTCTCCACACAAACACATGGTCAGAGAGATGTTTTCTGAGGCAGAGCATGGATTTGTTTTCCACTGTGGTCAGAGAACTTGATCTTGGAAGTAAAAGTTTATGCTGTCTGTAACTTTATATATATGCTAGGACGAATTGTTAAGACTGGTTCAGTTGTAAACATTACCTTGATGTTTTTTCTCAGCCTCTTTCTGTTTTATTGAATCTGAAATTGGAGTTTTCTGGGACTTCTTAAATGAAGAACTATTCCTTTTTAGTAGTGGTGTTTTCTTTTCAGTGGTTGTAGTGGTAGCATTTCTGTTCTGGATCCTGATCCAGTATACTTGTTTCCCTTCCATGGGTTCCCTAACTTGGGAGTGATACTTTTCACTATGATATTACAGTGGGCATAAATCTTTTAAGATGTCTTTTTTTGGTGACTTACTGAGATTTTGGGGGGCAAATAAAAACTGTCTTGATCAAATCTCTTTGTTTAAACCTCGGGCTAGCAAAGTTCTTCTTAAAAGGACTGACAGATATTTTAGGCTTTGTGGGGCTGTTATGGTCTAAGTTGCAGCAACTCAATTTTTTTTTTCTTTTAAAGACTATTTTTCAGGAGCAGTTTTAGGTTCACGCCAAAATGGAGGGGTGGGTAAAGAGATTTCTCATATATCCTCAGCCCTCCATATGCATAACCTTTTCCCCATTATTATTATTTCACACCAGAGTGGCACATTGGTTATAACTGATGAACCTACATTGATATATCATAATTACCCAAGTCCATATGTTTACATTAGGGTTCATTATTAGTGTTTTACATTCCAGGGGTTTGAACAAATGTAAAATGACATGTATCCATTATTATAGTGTTATGCAGAGTGTTTTCACTGCTAAAAATCTTCTGTGCTTGTCCTGTCCATCCCTTCTGCTGTTTCTGGCAACCACGTTTTATTGTCTTCATAGTTTTGCATTCCCAGAATGTCAAATATTTGGAATCATATAATATGTAGGTTTTTCAGATTGGCTTCTTTTCACTAAGTAACATGCATTGACATTTTCTCCAGGTTGTTTCATGCCTTACAAGCTCTTTTCTTTTTATTGCTGAATAATATTCCAGTGTAAACATGTGTCACAGTTTGTTTATCCGTATACCTACTGAAGGACATCTTGGTTGCTTCCAAGTGTTGGCAATTATGAGTAAAGATGCTGTATACATCTGTGTGCAGATTTTTGAGTAAATGTGTTTTCAGTTCCTTTGTGTAACTGCCAAGGAACATGATTGCTAGATTGTGTGGTTAAGAGTCTGTTTAGTCAAGAATTTACCAAACTGTTTTCCAAAGTGGCTATACTGTTTTGTTTTCCCACTGGCAATGAACGAGCTTCTGTTGCTTTATATCCGTGCCAGCATTTGGTGGTATCAGTATTCCAGGTTGTGGCTATTCTGATAGGTGAGTCGTGGTATCTCTTTATTGTTTTAATTTGCATTTCCATGATGGTGTATGATGTGTCTTTTCATAGGCTTGTTTACTGTCTTTACGTGTTCTTTGGTGCTGCTGCTGCTGCTGCTAAGTTGCTTCAGTCGTGTCCGACTCTGTGCGACCCCATAGACGGCAGCCCACCAGGCTCCCCCATCCCGGGGATTCTACAGGCAAGAACACTGGAGTGGGTTGCCTTTCCTTCTCCAGTGCATGAAAGTGAAAAGGGAAAGTGAAGTCGCTCAGTCGTGTCCGACTCTTAGTGACCCCATGGACTGCAGCCTACCAGGTTCCGCCGTCCATGGGATTTTCCAGGCAAGAGTACTGGAGTGGGGTGCCATTGCCTTCTCCCTTCTTTGGTGAGGTGTTTGTTAAGGTTTTTGGCTCAGTTTTTAATTGAATTGCTTTTCTTATTGTTGAGCTTTGAATTCTTTGTATATTTTAGATAACATTCCTTTATCAGATGTGTCTTTTGCAAATACCTTGTCCCAGTCCGTGGCTTGTCTTATTCTTTTGACTTGATCTTTGATGGTGTACTGTGGGGGCTTTCCAGATGGTGCTCATGGTGAAGAACCTGCTTGCCAATGAAACGTAGGAGATGGGAGTTCGATCCCTGGGTCAGGAAGATCCCCTGAAGGAAGGTATGGCAACCTACTCCAGTATTTTTACCTGGAGAACCCATGGACAGAGGAGCCTGGTGGGCTCCGTACAGTCCATAGGGTTGCAAAGAGTCGGACACATCTGAAGCAGCTTAGCACAACACAGCACACTCTAGCTTATCACCCACCAGC